GCTGAAGGGGGTTGGCCAAGGGGATTTGGAGGGTCCTACTCAACCCAGGAGCCTGGGGTTCTCCGGACAGCCTCTCATGACCCAGAGAAATACACAGAGAATCAGGCCTCACTGAAACCTGCAGCTGCCCGGGAGCCTCTGCAAAGGGGCCCTGTGCATAGGCTGTGAGTTTTTTATTATAACTTGAATTTCGATTAAGATTAATTCCAATTTTCCACTTCTAAACCCACTGCATTTTTCAATGTCAGCCAGCAGCATGGATCCCTTTTTTTCACAGAGGAATGCTAGGAGGTTCCCGGAGGGTCAGCCTCCACCTCTAGCCAGAGAGGTTGCAGCAGCCAGAGCAGCAGAATTTAGATCTACCAAGTTGCCCTTTAAAGGACAAAGCAGGAGGCTTTCTTGATGTTATCTCCTAGGGCCCTATCCCGACTATCCTAATAAACACTGAGCATCTGTCCTATGCCAGTTCTGTTCTAAGCTCCTTATATATGTATTAAACTTTTCACGCCTCACAATGACCCTATGGGAAAGACACTATTTTCATGTCCATTTTATACATTGGGGAAACTGAGGTACAGAGAAGTGAATTGCCCACGGTCACACATCTCATGAGTAGAAGAGCAGAGATTCAGGCCAGAGCTCACACGTGTAATCATGCTGCACTGCCAGTCAAGCATTGTGAGGCACTGATGACACTGAAATGGTTTCTCAAAAGTCAAAAATCCTCTCAAATGTCAGCAGTCGCCAGGCCAAGGAGCAATGCCCAAGTGACAGGGAGCCATGAAGACTGTCCTGCCTCCTGAGGGGCACACTTGATTTTTCCCTTGAGTGTGTGACCTCAGCAGAGAGGTGGAGTAGGGTTTGTACTACTAGGAAGGGCCGAGGCCACTGCGAGGGGGTTGGGGGGTGGCATACTCACCCCAAACACCTTCTTGGCCCCTGCTTTGGCAGCAAACATGGAAAGGATCCCGGTACCACTCCCGACGTCCAGCACCACTTTGTCCTTGAACACGTGCTTGTTGTGGTACATGGAGTTCCGGTAAGTGAGCGTCCGCACCTCATCCTTCAGCATTTCCTGTATGGAAGAAAAGGAAAGTCAGTGTCAATGTTTTCAAGGTACTTGGGAGTACACCAGGGTCACGGGCCCCAGGACTGTCCAGCCAAATTCTTCAAGGATCTTCACTAGGCATGCCACAGAAGAGTACTGTGGCACAGCTAGACCAATGGCTACCTGAATCATTACAAACAACTCCAGCCCTAAAACTTTGCTCAAGATAGCTTTGTACTATCAAAGAAGAAACTCATGTCCAGACCTGGGAAACTCCAATTTACCAAGAAACAAAAGAAAGTACTAGTAGGATGCAGCATGAGAGACTCAAGTTACGCCTGAAGCAGAACTTTCTGCCATGGTGAGAATTGTGTCATTGAACAAGTTGTTAAAGGAAGTTTTTGGTGTGTATATTATTTTTGTTTGCTTTTAGGAAAAGAGAACATATTCCTTTTTCTACCATTATTTAACTGCTTTGTGGTAAGAAAGAAACTAGATTACCCATTACAGCTGCCTCCAGCCCAAGGAGAACATGGTTAATTTGTGTATGGTGATGAGGTAGGGGTCTTCATTTATTCAAGGTACCAGCAAACACTCTAAGTCATCACCAATAGAACTGTAATTTTTTGGTACAATTTTAGTATAGCTTTTAGTATAATCTGCGTACAATAAAAAGCCCAGATTTCAAAAGTATAACTAAGTGTAAGAGTTTGTACAAATGCACACCATAATTAAGATACAGAACATTTCCATCACCCCAAAAAGTCTTTCGTGGCTGTTTGCAATTAATCCGCACTCCCACTCCAGACAACCAATGACCTAATTTCCATCACCAAAGCTTCTTTCTGCCAGATTTAGAACTTCATATAAATTGAATCATACAATATGTACATTTTTGTATGTTTCTTTTGCTCAAAGATTTTGAGATTAATTCATTTTCTTGCATGTATCCAAGGTTTGTTCCTTTTTTCTTGTTGCTACTGTTGTCATTCTTATTCTTGTTCTTGTTGTTGACTAGTATTCCATTGTATGACCATATCTATTCACTTGTTGATGGGTATTTGGATTGTAATGAATGAAGGTGTTACATTTTCACATTAGCATTTCTGAAGATGCATGTTTCTATTTCCTTTGAGTAAATACCTAGGAGTGGGGTTTTGGGTCTTAGGGTAGGTGTTTAATTACACTTAAAATTGCCTAACAGTTTTTCAAAATAGTGGTGCCATTTCATGATCCCACCAGCAGTACATGAGAACTCAAGTTGCTTTACATGCTGACCAATTAGACTTATCAGTCTTTTTAATGTTAGTTATTATAGTGCAGTGATTTTCAACCTTTTTCATCTCATGGTGCACTTAGAATAATTACTAAAATTCCGTGGAACATCCAAAAATATATTTTTTGTTGATTTTACAAAAAAATAGGTAATTTTGATTCATTCACACTGGACAGCTATTGTTGTGTTGGCTCTTGTCATTTTCTTTTATTTGACAATCTAAGGGGACAGAGGTCAGATACTGCATGTTTAAAAATTCTTGTGGCAGCACACCAGTTGAAAATTGCTGTTATAGTGGATATAAACTAGTATCTCATTGTAGTTATAATTGCATTTCCATGATGGCTATTGATGCAGATAATTTTTTTCATGTGTTTATGGACTCTTCATATATACCTTCTTTTGTGAAGTGTCTTCATTTTTTTTTCTTGAGCTATTTGCTTTTCCTTATTGAATTATAGGAGTTTATATATTCTGGAAATGAATCCTTTATCAGATGTACATATTGTGAATGTCTTCTCCAAATCTGTGATTTGCCTTTTCATTTTCTTAATGCTGTCACTTGAAAAGCAGTTTTTAATTTTGATAAAGACCAATTTTTCAGTTTTTTCTCTTTTTAATTTTGTTTTATTGCTTAAAGTATTACATATGTCTCCTTTTGTTTTTATTTTCCCCTTGACCTTCCTCCGGCTTCCCCTACACCCCAGTGTCTTGTGTCCATTGCTTATGCTTATAAGCATGCATACAAGTCCTTAAGTTGATCTCTTACCCCATCCCCCCAACCCTCCCTGGCCTTCCTGCTGTAGTTTGACAGTCTGTTCCATGCTGCTCTGCCTCTGTATCTACTTTTGTTCATTAGTTTATAAAGGTCTTTATTATCCATAAATGAGTGACATCATGTGGTATTTTACTTCAGCATGTATGGAACTGGAGAGCATTAGTTTTTTCTTTTATATTAGAATTTTCTGTGCCCTGCCTATTCTTTGTCTACCCCAAGGTCACAAAGATATTCTCTTATGCTTTCTTCCAGAAGTTTCATAGTTATGGCTTTTACTTTTAGTCTACAATTCATGTCAAACTAATTTTTACACATAGTGTAAGTTAGGGATGTGAGTTCATTTGCTTCATACAAGTAGATGGCTTGAGCACCAGGCTTCATTTTCCCCACTGAATTACATGGAGGAGATCCTTTGGAACAAGCCTTTCTTTGTTTCAATTATGTTGCCACCTTTGTAAAAGTCAGTTGACTATATATGTGTGTCTTCTCTGATTTGTTCCATTAATATACCAGTTCAACATTCACTTGATCACCATAGATTTATATTAACTTTGAAATAAAGTAATGTCAGTTCTCCAATTTAGGTATTGTTTAACATGATTATTTTGTTTTTTCTAGAACTTCAGCATTTTTATATGCATTTTAGAAGCAGTTTGTTAATTCATACAGAATAGCTTGCTGGAGTTGGTTGGGACTGCACTGACTCCTATAGAGCAATTTGGGGAGAATTGATATTTTAGGAATATTGAATCTTAAAATCCAAGAACACAAATACAGCTCTCCATTTATTTAGGTCTTGTTTAATTTCTCTTGGCAATATTTTATAGATTTCAGTATAAAGGTCTTATATTTTTAAACTACTAATAAATTTATTCTTAACTATTTCATGGCACTGTATACAACATATTTTAATTTTTACTTTCCAATTGTTAGTTTATATATTGGCCTTGTACTTTGCAGCTTTGCTCCTTTACATATTAATTCCAATAGGATATTTTGGTAGATTCATTAGTTTTTTTATGTAAAAAAAATCTTGTCACTTGTGAACAAAGACAATTTCACTTCTTTTATCCTATCAGTATGCCTTTTATTTCTTCCTTCTTTTTTTTTTTATCAAAATCTGTCTTTATTAAAGTGAACAAATCATCAGAGTCCTACCAAAACTTAGTGAGGGATGCTGAATTTGCTCCCCTTGCCTGCCTTCAACCAGGCCAACACCAGCTCCCAGCTGGCCTAGCAGGCCACAGTAGGGACTGGCTCTGCACCGTCACACAGCACAGACGTTGCACATTTCAGTGCTTTCAGTGAATTGGTGTCTTCAGTGAACATTTTCTGAGCAGCAAAGACAAGAATTGTTTCCAGAAACCTTAGAATTGGATATAAACATTGGCAATAAACACAATCAATAAATATCATACCATTTCCCAAATGAACAAGACCCCCAGTGCGAGTTCTTTTCCTGAAGACATTCAAACACCCTGACCAGAGAGCCTGTCTCGGTCCTCCAACCACACAAGGTCTCAAATGCCCGAGTGTGGGGGTCAGGCCTTGAACAGAGGGGGGTGTGGTGAGAGGCCAGAAAGCAAAGTAAATCACTTTTAATAGATACTGAAGAACTTCAAATAAAAGGAATCCTGCCACATGCACATACCTCATTAGCAGCCGCAGGGACAGCGGAGACCACAGCAGCTATGCCCTGGACCCGGCGTGTGTCCCTGCATCCCCGTTCCATCTTGCCTTTTATTTCTTGTTCTTTCCCCTTGCTATATTGCACTGGCAAGGATGGCCATTTGGTAATATGCTAGGCATACCTCCTTTGTTCTAGTGACATACAAATGTCACCATTAAGTATAATTTTAGCTGTGGCCTCTCCATAAATGTCTTCTACCAGACTGAAAGATTATCTTCTACACTTGATCTTAGCCAAAAGGCCAAGAAGCAATGACAAGTTATCTTCTATTTCTAATTTTCTGAGAATTGTTATCATAAATTGGTGTTGAATTTTGTCACATACTTTTTCTACATTTTTTGATATGATTACCACTTCTCTCCTTTATTGTGTTAATATATTGAACTCCAAAGATTAGTTTCAAATGTTGCATCGACTCTTTGTCATGATGTATTATCTTCTTAAATATTGCTGGGCTTTATTTACTAATATTTTGTTGCAGATTTTTGTCTCTGTATTTATGAGAGATATAGAATTATAACTTTCTCTTATCTTCTCTGATTAGTATGCTGAGCTAATCACACAAGTTAGGAAGTGTTATCTCTTTATACATTTTCTGAAAAGATTTGGGTGAGATCAATGTTTTCCTTTTTTAAATGTCTGTATAATTCACCAGTAAAAACATCTGGGCCTGGAGTCTTTTATGTGGGAAGATTTTATTTTATTTTTTTTTTTAGGATTTAAAAGGGATTTAATTCACACTTCTTCTTCTTTTTTAAGAAAGTATTTCTTTCTTTCTTTTTTTTAATTGCTTAAAGAATTACAAAGGGTATTACATATGTGTCCATTTTTCCCCCCGCCCTAGACAGTCCCTTAGCCTCCCCTATTCCCCAGTGTCTTATGTCCATTGGTTATGCTTATATGCATGCATACAAGTCCTTTGGTTGATCTCTTA